TTGCAACTACTAATAAAGAATAACTCATACAATACAGGATATTAGAAAGATACTCCATGTATCTCATATGAATGTAATGTAATAATTATTTTGGAATTTCATTAAAAGACTGTTATAAATTTTTGTCACAACCCAATATTACATGCAAAATTCTATTTTTTAATGCATCAGGTTCCATTTTGAATGTTCACTTGGTCCAACAATCTTATGTTGACAAGTTGATAAGATCTTTGCATGATCTTCAATATTACACACTGTCATCTAAAAAAAAGAACATAACTGTTAATTTCATTGTAAAAATGATTGCACATATCCCTTAAGACAAAATGAGAAAAATATCAGGAATGACCACTCGAAGTCATATTTAATGATATATAAAAAGTCAGTCTTCTCACCGTGATACCACCATTTCGTCTTTTTTGGATTCTTGTTGCAAGTTTTCACATAAAATGTATTGTCAGGTGGCCTCTTCTATATAAAAAATATTTGCATATATGAATAAATATTAATGCTCATATGTATTTGTACTTGCGTGGCTTCTAAATATCCTACCTTTTCTTTGCAACTGCTTAGCATGGAAACAATACTCAGACAAATGCTTTGCACACTGAGAGCAGGAGACCAATCCTCTGTTAATATAGATAAACAAATATGACCATTGCTGTAGACATGTGGATGTATAGGGATATTTCCACCGATAAAAGTCACTTCTGGCGAATCAAATGGATATTTCGAACTGAATTTAAATTGGAGTTGAAACTGCTCTCCCTCATACAGCGTGCCTTTAGCACCTTCCATATGGACAATCCATTGTGTCAGGTTTTGTCCAGCCAATTCTCCATCTACATGCACACCTGGTGGAGGCTCACGTATTAAAGACATCAACTCCTTCTGCAGTCTTCTCTAGGATATTAAACGAGTTCATTTAATAAAATGACTTTTATTATTAGCAAACAATACTATGGAAGAAATTACTTTGTTCAAGAAAACACATTGCCAATATAATACTGTTTTTTGAAAATGCATTAATGTCTATATAAATTTTTTGTCTTAGGAATTTTCATTGATACCTATTTTAATGTATACCAGATAACATATGTTATATAATTATAACAAACAAAAAATAAAACTATTTTATTTATAAGACAGTAGTGAATAAAACACAGAAATTGAAAAATTGTCAAGCGGTATACATTTGTGTATATTCGAAGACAGTACTCCGATAACGCGAATTTGAAGATTACAATCGCCTTTAATTTATCTCGGATTCGCTGTGTGTAACTCTCGTTGTAGTTTCCCCGTTACCCCCCGCAATGTCCCAAGTCGAGCGTTCGATTTTTGTGAGTCGGGAACGGGAAGGTGCCCATTCCCTCGATATCTTTTCGAATATCCTTACGATTTACACTCGCTCGATCCATCGCGGCGTTTCGTTTCGTTCGCGGAGCAAAAAACTCTGGAAATCATCGACGTACCTTCGACGGGGACGTTGCTGCCATTGTCGTTAAAGCGCTCTCCATCGAGAAACATAACCGCGGCTTGCTTGCGGTGCGAGCGCTCGTTTTTGCGAGCGCGCGTTATGCACCTTCCTCGGCAGAGAAGCGAGAGACGTCCTCACGTTCCCGCACGGTCTCGCATCCCCGTGAAACGGAAGGCGGAAGAGGAAACAACCGGGCCGGGCTGGGCTGAACTTGGAAAAACGGACGGTGGCAATGGCAGTCCCGGCGACTGGCTGGCTGGCTAGAGATCTGACAGCGGCGTTGGCAGCTGCATTCGACGCGCGACACGGCCACCGCTCCGTCTCGAAATGCAGGGCGCACGATCGTCGGCCGTACGTACACACACGCGTGAATTATACGTCGTCAACACACATAACTGTCGCAACGGTATATTGGTTCGCGATATGACAGGAACGCGCAACGGAAGCGGATGTACGATGCCGCGATCGGTAATCCCAAGAAAAAAAAAGTAAAATGAGAGTTCGGCAGCGCGCGACCGAGATGCGCGGAATTGATTCTTCGCTCTCTCCTGATCGTGACCGAAGCGCAATGACGCAATATCGACGGACTGTCTGAGAGCTTCAATAATTTACGACGGTCGTTCGCGAGGCAGAACTGAGGGAATCGATGGACGTACTTCGTACTAGACGTACTTGAATACCAGACGTGTCGAAATCCACTTCAAAAACGTGCGCGCGTTCAACTCCCCGGAAGTGGACGGCGACGAGATCGCGGATGTTGAAACACGCGACGCGCTGCGGCGTGCACGCATGCGCATTGCGCGCTTAAAGGCGCATTCTCGAAACGAGTTTCCGATCGTAACTTGAAAATCAACGGCGAAGGCTCATCATCATCGCTTGTTCGTGACTGTAGCCTGAAAATATTTTTGTGGATGACGTTCTCTCGCGCGGCCGAGATCGACGGAGCGACGTTTACGGTTATTATTGCGTGCTTGTGGCGTGCACGGAATCTGGTTGGCGTTTCCCTCCAGTTTCCTCGCTGGACGGACTGCGCGATGGAGAGTATATTCCACGAGAAGGTAAACAAAACCTATTTCAACGCGTGAAAGTTTTAATCGGCGTCTACTTCCGGAATATCAGAATCGCGTTCACCATTCTCTCGTGACAGCCCTTTTTCTTTTCTTCCCGCCAGCAAGAGGGATACCTGTGCGCCCAGCACTGCTTGAACGCGCTTCTGCAGGGCCCATACTTCAATGCCGTGGACCTGGCGAACTTTGGTCACCAGATGGACGAGGAGGAGAGGATCCGGATGGCTGAGTCGGGCGTCGATAGCGAGGACTACAAGCTGTTTCTCGAGGTAAATATTGTGATGTTGATATGAAGTCTATTGGAATTGCAATACTCGAACTGATAAAAGCACCTGATGAACTAGCTTCGTTTTTTCTTTTAAATTATTGAGAAAATATTGCTCTTTGACATGTCTGGATATAAATGGCCTTGTTATTATTTTCCCTGCCAAAAGCCAAGCAGATATGTTTGTAACAATAGCAAATTGCTTCTTGTGTTTAGCAACCATCGGGAAACATGGACGACAGTGGATACTTTTCAGTTCAAGTTATTAGCAGTGCTTTGAAAGTTTGGGGTTTAGAACTGATTCCATATAACAGCACGGAACCGACAGCTTTACTGGCACAAAATGATCCTTCGTAGGTTCTCTTGATTTTTTTGGGTCTATCTTTGTGTTGTGTTTTGTGATATTTTGTTCTATTACACTTGCAAAAGAGCACTTTTTCCAAAAGATTGTTCTTAGAACAATTACAGTAACGACACACATAATTAATATCTGAATTAAGTAATATTTCTATATAATTATGTACAATTTTGTATAATTCATGTCAGTATTTTTTTTATATCAAGCAAATTTATATACTTTTTAAAAGAAAAATGTAAAAGGAAGAAATGTAATTTCATTTATAATAGTTTTATGAAATACATGATAATATCATATGATAATATAATTTTCAGACGGATGAGAGCATATATTTGTAATTATAAAGGACATTGGTTTACAATAAGAAAGCTCGGAAGCCAGTGGTTTAATTTAAATTCAATGCTTAGCGGGCCTCAACTTATATCAGACACTTACCTCACGATGTACCTAGCTCAATTGTTACAAGAAGGTAAGTAGTTACACAAAGTAACTAACAAAGTAAAAAAAGTAACAACAAGCGATAACATCGATTTTTCGCTAAATCTATCTTGTAGGTTATTCTATCTTTATTGTTATTGGTACCCTTCCACAATGTCCTGCTGAAGATGTACTCCTGAAAAATCCCATAGTCGCAACGAAAAGCAATCCAAACTCGGAATCAAAAATCACATCCAAAGGCAATCGCTTAGGCACCAAGGCAGAAGATGAAATCTTGAAAGCCGCGCTCGCGATGGGAGAAGTAAAAGTTCCACAATCCTCAAGTGCAATCAGAAGTATATCTTCGCTCTCTCATAAACCTGATCTGTCCACGGATGAACCTCGCGAAAGGATAATTCCCATAAGAATCGAAGGCAGAGAAGAGAAGAGCGACGAAGAGGAAGACGAGAATGTACAATTAGCTAGAGCCCTGCAAATGAGTTTGCAGAACGATGAGGACGACGTAGACAAAACTCTGAAGTTGAGACTAGATCTTCATACCGATGATAAAACGACGCATTTAGCTGATTCGATGAATGACACGGATGAAGATGATGAGTTGAGACGAGCATTGCAACTGAGTCTTGAGTGCGTAACCGCCCCACCAACACCTGATCCCGAAGATTTACGTTGGCGTCGGTTGAATCATTTTATCTACGCGAGGACGCCGAACAGTGAAGCCCCCGCGAAGCTAAACACTTAACAATAAGCGCGAACTCTGCACAAATTATCTATTACTAAACAAATCATTGTATTATAAATTATACGATCGAGTAATTGAACTCGGAAAGGTATGTCACTTTGTATACTAATGATAAGAGATATCTTATGTCAAATCGGTTATAAAAGAAAAAAAAGCACATTTCCGGTTCCTCGAAACTGAACAGAATTTTCGTTGACGTCTTGTTCTCTCTCTCTCAACTTTGTTATACTAATCGTTCTACAAAATAAAAACGTTTGAGCAAGGAATCTCATTGTTAATTTTGATATGAGGATAGTTATATAAGTATTCATTTATAATAATATATATTTGAAAAAAGATCGACATCTAATAAAAAATTGCAATAATATATTTTTGATGTACATAAACTCAAGAAGATTAAAATGTTTTTAGTTTCGATTAAATTTAGTCGACAATTGATTAGTCAAATATCTGTATTTTGTTAGTCGTAAATAGAATTATTAATTAGAATTATTAATAGAATTAGTAATTAGAATTATTAACTTTATTATACAAAACAGAGAAAATTAGATAAAGAGCTAAGTTTAAGCATTCTATCAGATAAATTAATTGTCAATTAAGTTTATCACAACTTTATTGAAATGATCTTTATATCCTTCATCTATTTTAATTTGTTTATTTTTTATTATTTTTTTAATTCTTAGAAGTAAAAAAAAAGTAACTTGTAATTAAAATTACATTGATAGAAATATTAATGATCAGCATTAGTCTTCAGCCAAATTATAACTTGTCTGTTTTACCGATCAAATGCATTATTTTTCTAATAACACTAATCTTTTTATTATAACTTTACAAATTTAAAAATTCTTTTCTATAATTAAATACACTAATGTTGAAACACTTTATATAAAATGAATAAAAATTAAAAATTCAGAAAAATTCATCTTTATCTATTTTTTTATATAGCATTTAGATTTTAAATGATAATAACATTTTATCTTTTTTTTTTTAATTTTAAAAGAATGAAAATCAAAATTAAAATTAATTCACATCGTAAAAATGAATATATAAGGAAGAATTCGATATCCAATGGGAAAAATTATTCTGTAGAATTATTTTTTTAGAAATTACATTAAAAAAAAATCAAGAGAGTAGATTTTTCGATCAGATATCAATTTCGAGAATCCACGGAGAGATGCGTTCGATCTAAAAATCATGCATTTGAAAAAATCAGGAATCTTCTAACGCGGACCCGTTCCTATCGGCACATTGCGGTCAAGCGAGATCCTGCGAGCGCCTGCGCGCGCGCACACGCGATACAGGAAACTCGTGGTCGCTCCCGCTGGCCGTATGTGAACGCCGAATGTTGACATTCAACATGGCGGCATGTCGTCAGTGCTGTGCTGTGTCGTGGTGAGTTTCATAAATCCTCTTAATGTCGTATGACCGCGAGCTCTGTGTGGGAACGAGTGCTGTCCGGGTTAGTGCGATGCCCATCGACGATCACTCGTCGATTCGGCGACCCGGACAGCCCGGCGAGGCTGCGCCGCGGCCTCGCGGCATCGCGGTGAGATAAGGCGCTCCGCGACCTCATAAAAAAATCAACTTCGCGTAAAACTACGACGAGCGCACATGATAACGGCACGACCGTTGGCCGGGGCGTGCCGAGGCGACGGGAAAGATGTCCGCGAAACCGGACAAATCGGTCGCGAGATCGGAACGGACGATCCGCAAAGGATCGTCGCACGTTACCCCGTGATTGCCACCCCCTTTTTTTCGAAATCGTACGATCGTTCCGCGTAATCGTGTCCGGTAATATCGTCGAGCGATAGCGCGCGAGCCGAGAACGAGCAGATCTCGGTGGAGATCGGAGCGCGTCATTCCGAGGGTCATGATTCATCGTGTATACGCGGAACACGCCGCCGCACCGTGCGGCAGCCTCGCGTTGGACGCGATCCACGTCGGTCGCGTAACGATAAAACACAAGCAGGTTTCCCCACGGTATATCGTGTCAATGTCAAACTCGGATAATCAGGAGGATGCGTGTTTGCCTCGATGAGCTATAAATAAACGCGTTGTTATTTTGCTTCGGCTGTTTTCTTCGTATTCTGTCCGGAAAATTCTTTTATCTTTCTACTAGGATGAGGTAACCTAGAGGTACAACGTGCGTCTCGATTTATCACATGCGTTATAAATTTTGGATATAATAAATAAATAGCGAATTTTCTCGATAATTTTAAATTGATCCTTGTTTGAATACATGTCTGTGGGAAATTGTTAGAATAGAAAATCCTTAGTATTTGGTTAATTTTTGTGCAACACATTGTGATTAATTCTTGTGTTTACATTTTTTTATCTTATTTTTAAATGATATTTGTGAAATTTATCTATTTGTTTTATATATTGAAATTTAATAATCTTTATAAAACTTTTTGTGTATAATTTAATTTATATCACGAGGTTTCACAGGAATTTTATATAATGTAAAATTCTGATATAGAATCCCAATTATTAATCAATATGCTGTGAAAATATATTTTATACTTGAAATAGTTTTTTAATTTGTTGTTTGTTTTTTTTTGCAGCTTGTGTCATTGTTAGTTTAGGACACTTCTGAAACTAAGGCTCACTGTAAATTCTACATTTAAAAGCTGAAGAAGGAAAACGAACGTTACTATAGAAATATCAAATATCGGAAGAACACAATCAGACTCAGCACGCATTGAAGACATCTGAGGATTTTCAAGTCAACATTTATCCTTTAAATCTCCTATGTTTTTGATTTACTCTTTTTGTAAGGGATAACTGATGTTTAAAAGGAAACACAGTTGTTCTAGTGCACGCTAAATTGAGTATTTATCAGTTGTTATAATATTCAAGCATATACGTATGGAAAGTATTGACAGTATATGGTGTGCTAAGATTTTGTACTTGTATTAAGTCGTAAAAGTCAGCATTAACCGCATTGTTCATTTGTATATTGTATACACAACAAGCCTTGTGAGCAAGAGATAGGTGAGCCAATACAGTGACCGTGATTGTGATTGCGGCTGAGATTGTGCTGCTCCGCTTGGTTAATAGAACATTTTTATCTGCGTTTAAGGAGTGCCAAGTTTGTGTGTCGAACTACTATGGTACTCTTTGGTATAAATAATTCATGATAAACGCGTTAAAATATTTTCAAGAGACCTCACTTCCACTTTCTGGTCACAAAGGAGCCTGCATTTCTGCAGCATTTTTAAGGAGCCACTCTTCCTCTTCATTAAGTTCTTGTAATATTATAATAGTGAACAAAGATATAAGGTACCAAGAACCGTTCTGTGATATCTATGTTAAACAAATAATTGAGAAAGACTAAAAATTTCTAAATATAAGTATATATATATATTGTGGGGTGAAACAAGTGTGTAAACGTAAAAGAAATTAAGTAATTGTTTCAAGAGAAGAAGGGCTAAATTATACGTAAATATTATACATAATACTGCGCAAATTGAAAAGACAATGTCCAACAATCCTCAGTGGAAAACGTTCCAGCCGCCGCCAATCATGAACTCTGACCCAGCAATACTTGATTATAAGTCTATGGCTATACCAAATCCTAAAGCCATAACGGGATCTCATCAGCCAACGTCTAATAATTATCGAAATGGTACCAACTACACTGGTGATCATTATATGGGTTCACCTCCTGAATGTGGTAAAAATTCTACCACTAATTATGGAAATTATCCTGGTACACAATCGTCGCCACGTAATGGCGCCACAAGATTTCCGTTTGAATTCACAGGCATGGAAACAAATGCTAGTTATCCAAACGAACCTGCCACTAATAATTCTACTTACCAGGATCAATCTGCGAATCAAGGAACACGGGAAACTGGTATAATTGAAAAATTATTGGTGAGTACTGTGGATTTAGTTTAATTATCTATAATTATAAAGTGTATAGTGACTAATTTACTCATGATTTTTATTTAATAGCATTCTTACGGATTCATACAATGCTGTGAAAGACAGGCAAGATTGTTTTTTCATTTTAGCCAATTTAGCGGTAATATTGAACACTTGAAAATTGGAGATCCAGTAGAGTTTGAAATGACTTACGATCGACGAACAGGTAAACCTATTGCAAGCACCGTCAGCAAAATCGCTCCAGTGGTTAGTAAAGTAATTATTATAATAGAGTGTTGGAGAAAAATATTAAGAAAAAAACTAATTTAAGAAATATAAATATAAATTTTTTTAGGCATTAGGCGATCAACGGTGCATTGGCAATGTAACGACAGAGTTACAAGCGAGCGGCGATTCGCAGGGGCGTATCAGTTATGAAAATCGTGGAGAATGTTTTTTTTTGCCATATACCAAAGATGATGTTGAGGGAAACGTCACCTTATGTGCTGGTGATAAAGTGTCATTTCAAATTGCTACTAATCAACGGTATGCATAGTATTTATTACTAATATGAAAAATTTGTAATTTCCTTTTTCTCATGTATGTAAATATTTTGTAGAGGAAACTTGGGTGCATGTAATGTAAGACTAGAAAATCCGGCACATCCGGTTCGTTATCGCGGAGTGGTATGCTCAATGAAAGAAAATTTTGGTTTTATCGAGCGTGCTGATGTAGTCAAAGAGATATTCTTCCACTTTAGCGAGGCTAAATCTATGAAAGAAGAACTTAGGCTAGGAGATGATGTAGAATTTATAATACAGACCCGCAATGTAAGTAAGACAAAAATTGTATAAATTTACTTGAAAATATATTTATAGTTAAATAAGAAAAATATTTGATATTTTAATGTTTTACTGTTATAGGGGAAGGAGGTAGCTTGTAATATTACAAAGTTACCGCCTGGCTCAATTGTATTTGAAGAAGTCAGTAATGAAGTGGTGAAAGGGCAAGTCTTGAAACCTTTGGAGAGAGGCACTGCTGCTCGTCATCAAAATGATCCGTTACCTGGTCGTATTCGATATAGAGACAGTGATCATTCTGAAGTTGAAGTACCCTTTGGTGATAAAGATCAAAAAGGAGATTTTACTCTTAGGTAAATGTGAATTAATAAATTTTTCTTTTTTATATATATAAATAAACATTTATTTAAACGTAATAATTCTTTTCCACATAGCTGTAATATATCTTCATTGTAATTTGATTTTAACAGGCATGGGGACTGGGTCCAATTTCGTATTGCGACAGATACTAGAGATCAGCTTAAAAGAGCTACAGAGATAATGTTATTACCAGAATCTTTCACTGTGTCAGGGGAAAAACGAGAACAAGGTGTAATACAGTCTCTTAAAGATGGATTTGGCTTTATTCGTTGTGTAGAAAGAGAGCCAAGACTCTTCTTTCACTTTAACGAAGTTCTTGATGTTGATAGAGAAATTAGTGTAGGGGATGAAGTTGAATTTACAGTCATGCAAGTGAGTGTATCTTAGTATGATAATATTCGTTTTGTATTTAAATACATTTTTTTATTATTACGATTTATTATTTTCTAATTTCTAATTTTATTATTTTTATTTTATTTAAGGATCCTTCATCATCATTCTCTAATACTCGACAAAGTGCTACTAGACTGAAACACTTGCCAATGGGTACTGTAACATTTCAAACTATTATAGAGAAGGATATATTAGGTACTGTAATACAGGATACTAATTCGATGGAACCTGGTCTTATTGGATATGGCCAACAGAAGAGCATCATTTTCTTCTCCAAAGATTGCGACCCTAAACATATTCCAAAATTGGGTGATAAGGTATATTTATACGAGATTATATAGAAAGATCGCGATCGATAAATAATTTCACTGTTGAGAGAAACTTTTGTATTACTGAAAATATCTTCTTGATTTTATAGGTAATGTTCAATATTGTTCAAGTGAAACGAAATAAAGAACTTGTTGCTGAAGACATATTTTTAGTAAACGCCGCTGGTGAAAAAATTCAAAATGTTAACAAAAAATCAAACGGACAAGTATGTCAAGGTTTTATCGCCGCCCTTAAGGATGGGTTTGGCTTTATTGAGACCGTAAATCATGATAGAGAAATATTTTTTCACTACAGGTGAGAGACTTTAGTTATAACGATCAACTATGCATTTAATGTGTACATAAAATGGCATTTATATGTGTGTTTTATTTGCAGTAATTTTGAAGGAGATGCTAGTACATTGGAATTAGGAGCTGATATCGAATGTACAATTAGTAATTCGAGTAATGGAAGAGGGTCTGGAGGTTGCGTAGCTGCGGATCATGTTAAAGTAGTACCTCGCGGAAGTATTCCCAGGCCAACGCCAGTCAGCGAGGTACTCGATGGTACTGTGGTACGACCGTTGCGAAGCGCAAATCCTGAGCAGGCTGAGTACGCTGGTTTGATCAAGATTAATCCAACTAACGAAGATGAAGAGACGCCGGAATATGAATTTGGGATCATGGGACTTTCTAACAAACGGGAGCTATTGCAGGCTGGCGATCCTGTGCAATTACAGGTTGATTCAGCGGGTCATGCTTGTAACATCGTAGCTGTTAGGAAAAAAAGAAGAGCGACTGTGGATGCAATGAAGGGCCCCTTCGGCTTTCTCGCTTATGAAGTCGATGAAGGTAGAAAATTATTCTTCCACGTAAGTGAGGTTCGAGATCACGTTACGCTGCAGCCAGGAGATCAGGTTGAATTCGTTTTGGTTACTAATCAACGTACTGGCAAATCATCAGCGTGCAGTGTAACTCGATTAAGGTAAATTAATTTTTTTATTATACAAATATAGCAGCATCTTTTATTTGCAAATTTTTATTTTTAACAGCGATGCAGTCCAGCAAAGACCCGAGCGATTAATAAGTCGATTACGTACTATATCGCTGGAAGATACTGGTCCAAAATTAACTGTAGTCAGGCAACCAAAAGGGCCTGATGGCACGCGCGGATTCAATCAGGAAAGATGCCAGCGTATCCCTGGTGCCATAGAAGAATAATGCGCCTGGGCAGCTAATGAGACTGGGCTATTAATTATCCAAATTGTAATCTACAATTTGTTTTTAGTCTATACTTCGATACAGAGATTATTATTGTAAGCATGGTCGTAAACATTTGCCAAATTCAGACTAATGTGACAACAATAATTATAATGATAATAATCTGAAAATGGATGGTGACCAAGGGCCGGAATAATATAAAAGTAAAAAAAAAGTAAACAAAAGAACAACGACTTATTTTATCACCTCATAAAGGAAGGAAATGGGAGGAAAAGGAATAAGAAGACGATTCGTTTTACTCAGATAAATGTTAGAATTTATTCTAATACGTAATTGGTTTCTCTCTTTAGTTAATTTCCCTACATCTTGATGAATTTATAGCATGCTACCTATTCAAAGTTACTTTTTTGAGCGTAATGGATAGTTTATAAGATTCGAAATTTTTTATTAGTATGTTTCTATTTGCGTGGAAGTTCGGTAAATATATAATTTGTTACTTGAAAATATATAACAAATTACTAAAAGACATCTCAAAATACTTACAGGCTGGATTTGCAATCTGCTTGTATTTGAGATATGTCCGTCTATCTCTATAAAAAATATATACATGTCGCGCGATATATACCATCTTTATTCATATGATTTATTTTGAAACTTGATTTACCTATTATGTACATCGTAGTGTAATATAAATGTACAATGGGTAAAAAAGAAAAGAAAAAAACTAATGCCAGAGTCTATATGATGCAAAAAAGGTAAAATTAAAAGAGAATAGCCTTCACAGATTCGTTATTGAAATTTGCTAAATAATTTTATTAAGAACAAGTGAGTTTTGTTGTAATAAATTACGATATTGAGTCACTTTGTTAAAAAGATGTCTATGAATTTGTAAAAAGGAAAGGAAGAGTTATGACTAGCCAACTGTTTATTCTTAGTATAATATATATATATATATATATATATATAAATATAAAAATATATATATATATACACATGTCGTTAAGTTCCTCTAATGCAGTGTTGTAAAATCAAATTAGTATTACTAATTCTATGGATATACAACAATGGAAATTACAAAAAAAACTATGTAAAGAATAAGAAGTCACGTTTTATAAGTTTTGCCATCTGAAACGGTAAGCGAGATGCATGTGGCATTATTGTAGAAATATGAGAGAAATAAGGTAAAATAAGGTAAAGTACATAACACAAGCACGATACAAACTAAGCGCTTGTCCCGAAACTCATGGATCCAACACATCATGTGCATACATATTGTAAAATTATTGATGAATAAACAGTGGAAGCATCGAAATATATCTATCTTCTATGAAACGTCAAAGCTCTTTCGAGACTGCAAGTTATTCTGCGATGTAACTTTAATGCTTCACTCACCGAGCTGTTTCCAAGGTCGCGATAATAAGAAGTTCTAAGGATTCATATATTCTGAATGAGGATGCAAAATGAAAATGACGTATCATCTGTAGATTTTAATATTTATTATGTATGTACAAAGATATGTGTGTAAATACGTTTTATGAAATGCGTTTCTTTCCCTGTACGTTGTGTATCATATTAAAATGAATTTGAATTTCAGATGAAAGTAAGAGGAGAGATTCGGGTTAAATCACGACGCATTCATAAGGGTATTGTCCTCGTAAAAGTGTAACATCCGGTCGTGGACAAGCTGTAACATAGAATTGTTTGATTTTTTTTCTCATTTGTTTGCATCATCGTAATATGCTCTCTATATAGAAAAAAAAAAAAATCCAAAAAATGCAAGAACTTTTCGATATTAAATAATATACCATTTTTTTCTTCTACCATCCGCTTTTTATCCCGTTCAATTCGGCAACTTAATACGCAAAAGATAAATATATAGAAAAATTATGATGCTAAAACTACGAAAGTTAAATCAAACTATCTGCTATTATTAAAGGTACTAACGTGTCTCGCAATAAGTGCCATAGAATCCAGTTCCTTCACAGCGACATTTAAATCCAGGTTCCGATGATATTTGGGAACATGAACCCTCATTTAGACAAGGTTTCGATCGATAACATATGTCGCTACGTCTTCCTGCAACGAGACAAGTTAAAATTCTCAAGAAGCACATTGATCAACATGTCAAGAACATATCTATTGTTTATAGATTTAACAAATCAAGTAAGAGCGCAAGTATTTGTTGTTACCTTTCAGCGCTAATTTGCAATCGTCATTGTTGTCATACCTATACTCGGATTTGCAGCCGTAACCGCAACTGCATTGTGCATTGTAAATGCGACATCCGTATCGCATTTGATCCAATTCGCATCCTTCCGAGACTATAACTGTTGGCAAAGAAGCTTGGTGTTAATTGGACTGATTTGAACAAGTGCATTGTTTGAACTACTTGAGCGAAGAATCGTACTTGTACAAAGTATTCCTGATATTTTTTTAGCAATTTTTCGTCAATAAAAATACCGACTATTTCAAATAAATAAAGATGTAAAATTCTTAATGTATTAACTACAGCAGAAAAAGTTAAAAAAGAAAATCTTTAATTTCGCACAAATTGACCTTAACAAAATTTCAAATTTAATAATCTAATAATATATAAAGATACATATAATGTCCAATACAGAAAAAATACAATAAATACCCTTGACATTTTATGAAAAAATATCTTCCAATATAATGATCGAAGAAATTGCGATAAAATTCGGGGATATTTAAATATAAGAAAAGAATAATATGAAGCTTTAGAATAATATAATGCTTTTTTTTGACATATTACTACGTATTTATTAATAACTGTTTTAAGGTATCAAAAGAATTAAGGTATTAATAGACGCGAATCTATATGATTACGTTTTATATTTATTAATTATCTGCATTATTTTTAGGTGAATGTACTATAAGCAGTATAGAAATATCTGCGGTTTATTTACCCCAAGGAAAGATAGTGGCGCTTTAACGGAGACGTTCGCGCCGGATGTGCTCGGCTGCACTTCCCACTTGTCTAAATTGATAAGCCTTTCACGAGATAGACAATATTATGCGTGGGCTAATCGATTTTTAAATTCGTTTACTCTTGACTGTGATGCATGAAATTTGCAATCTCTATTTCATCAACATGAGGATGTCCCGCAGCCGTATATATACATTAATTTTTAACGAACATTGTGTTTATGTATTTCATCATTCGATTCATTCAAGGGTAATTATTAATTACAAATGATATGGTCCGTTGTAGAAGCGTAATCAGTAAAAGAGGCATGTTGTGTGGGATGTTCATCATTGAGAGTGTCATTTACTATCGGTATGATGGGTTTATCATTTGATTACTCAGAAAGTAAACTGAGAGCGCGTCTCTCTCATACATTGCTATTCATTTTATGGGAGATTAAATTTGCTGACTGGGCCGTAATAATTTCGAGTAATATTAATGTTTAAATTAATATAACGACTTACATAAAAATTTTAGAAACTGATATGTTTAGAAGCATTAAAGGAAAAGGATTAAAAAAAATTGAAAAATATTATGTTACATAACAAATATAAAATTAGTAATAAAAAAGGAAATTTGACTCTACTTGCATAGTATGAAAGATTTTCATCGTTTTTAAGTGAAATATACGACATATATATATGCTCAGATATCAACGCATACTCGGATACAAAATTTATATATTTATATTTATAATTTATTACGGAATATTAATAATAATTCTTGGAATAATTTAATATAATTCTTTTATTTTTCTATTAATTTACAACTTTTCGATGCAATTGTATCTTCATCAATTGCAACCTAAATCTTAAATTATTGTAATCTAAAAATTGGTACAATAGATCTTTCTAACGGATTCACTGAAAATTATAAGAAAATATCGTTGCCCGTAAAATATTTACATGATTTGAGAAAGTTATCGAAAAGTAAGTTCTTTTTCAAACGTTGAACGATTAGTTTCAAATACAAATGATTGAGTCATGACCGTAAAAAAATTAGTTTTTCATGAATCAGTATCAGTATTCTAAAATTTTTTCACTCTGACTCCGACATCGTATTCTTTATTAAAAAGCAAATTTGACTACATAAAATCGAATCTTAAACCGAGAAAAAGCTTCAAATGATGAGAAAAAGATCCAAATTTGACGAATATAATTAATTTTTATTGATTACAATCGTTAATTATTCATAATTATATGTGTTTATTAAATTCTAGCGATATTCTAGCTATTTATTAAAATCTCTATAATATATTTAAAAAATTTTTATTAAATATTTGTTACTTATGCAAAATAATATAATTTATAATTATATAATATAATATAGTGTAATTTATTTGGGACTGATATTATAATGCGACATACCTATTGTTAAAAGGAGTAGAGCAGCCGACAATGTCAATCTCGATAGCATGGTGTTCCCAGATAAGGTGAAGCAAGAGACGTCAAAGAGCCCCGTGAAGGATATCGTGGACAGCGATAATCCAAGAGAGGAGCTCAAAGGGGAGATCGTCGACCGCTTGGCGATTGCTTGGTAGGCTTTTGTCGCCGGTCCAGAGTCAAAGGTCGACAGACTCTACACAAGGGGATACGGGGTCAGTGTGGCCTCTCCTCGCACGCGCGTTCTCTCGTCGACGTTGCAACGGGAAAAGCGATCGTGCCGTTCGGGAACGATGCAGCGGCCGAATCGACCGAACCCGTCAACTCGTGGCAGCTAACTGTCGTGGACTGCTGAAACTAGTTGCAATCGTACGGAAGCCGTCCAATCGCTGAAGAACTATGCGTGGGGTGCAACTCGATCGTCAACGTCCGCAATGATGCCTGAAACACGAAATCATGCAATTCCTTAATTTTTATTTAATACTAATCAAAAGCAATCTGTTAAAATAAAACTATCCATTTGTAATATACATGATAAAGTTAAAAATTGTGCAAGAAGAGACAGACTTAGTCCGTTAACTTTTTGTAGATTTTAGATTTTTTAGATGATAAGATTAGATATAGGAAGAATTATAATCACACATGTTAAAATGTTTAAAGAATTTTTATAAAATATTTAATCTTTGTATATAATATCTTCTGACATATATGCAAAACGATTGCATTTAGTATGTAGTATTTGTGCGTGTGATTGTTTTGAAATGCGATTATGTAAAGATTGTATATATTGCTTCGTAATGTTTCTATGACTGATTTCTAGCAGTTTAAAATTATATATATATATTATTTTTTTTATTTATTTTTTGATAAATTTTCAAAGATTCGAGTTTTATTCGTTATTACTGTGCAATCGTAACAAATAAAATTATCGTTTTTTTGTGACAGTGTATCTCATGAAAAAAAGATCTTGAGATTTTCATTAATCTTTTTGGATTCGAAACAAAAATTTAACTTTCGTTATGGAAAAATGAACTCAATTTTCGTTATGGAAGTTTTCGCTCAGAACATCGTTGAAGTGATAATTTAGGCACACTCGGACATGTTATTATCACCAATTATCTTTTAACGAGTTTGTTATTTATATAAAAGATGAATTTAATTTAATTTCCACGAGAAAGAGAAAAAAGTGGAAGAACTACATCCAGAATTTTATTTTAATTATTATATAATATTAGGATATTGTATATATGTACATGTAATTAATATTTTACATATTACAAGTTATAAAAGAATACATCATTTAATCGCTATTTTTTGTTATATTAACTTTTTATCCTTAATTTATCGAATTATCATATCTTTTATAATTTAAAAATATACAATTAAAAATATACAATTAATATACAATTAAATAACAAAATTAAAAGTTATTGATTATTTATGAAATTATTTTTGTCATGTACGTGAAATTCCTTTTTAAATTAATGATTAGTTCTATGCAAGATCTTAAACTAACGGATGTAATATGCTATCGCTTTTCAGAATTTGATAACATTTGACACTGGCAGTTGTAAGTCAGGAAATTGATGAAATGTGTGTCACAGAGACAGACCCGTAAAATTCATGTTCTTGACAAAACAATAAAATCTAATAATTTGCAAGATCAAGATCAATATGTCAATAGTGCATCATGCGTTATCGTTACAAAAGTAATAATTTTAGCTGATCTAAGATCATATTATAAAGAAAAAGAGTCACATGTAATATTTATTATATAATTAAAATAATTTATTAAGATAGATTTTTTTGGAGATTACAGAAATTTTAAGATATTTTATATTTATCTATATCTAAATTGTGATTGCATATTAGTGAATATTTTACAGTCTAATATAAGCTTGATGTAAGACATCAAAAGGCATTAATAAGGCAATGATATTTTAACACAGTATATTAAATAGTTCATATTTTTAAAATATATTCTACATGGCATTATAAACATTCTTGGATATTTAGAACATACAATTTTATTCATTTATTACTTTAAAACATTACGGCTGACACGTCTGGCGTCAATATATTTGTACAGCATTGGCATCACTAATAGGGACACTTCTCCGTATCAGTTTTTTTTCTTCAATTAAAATTTAATTTATCTGATTCTATTTGTAGCACATTTTTTAAAGCCTGGATTATTTATATTCTGAAAAGAATAATTTCAAATAAAATCAAAGATTATTGTCTTTATTCAGTTTGATGATATATAATTTCAACTCTTAGTACCTTACATGAATGTTTGATCGTGTTGTTCATGAATCATCGTTGCTCTCCGGGACTGGATCAAACCAGATTGCCTATTGTATAATTCTCTAACCAGGCTGTCTTTTTCTTGCTCAAGTAATGCTATTCGTTGACTCTTTTTGCTAACTTCCTGTACATTGTATAAAAAATATATATTAACTGATTTACGATTTTTATATATAGTGCATTATTATTATTATTATTATGCATTACCTCCGTTAATCTGTGATTTTGTTGTTTCAATCTCGATAACATATCCTGTTGAAGTTGAGCTGAGATCGGAGCACTTAGGAATGCAAGATTCATGTGAAGGGGAAGTCCCCCGCGTTCCCAACTACTTATCAAGGCAGCTAAATGTCGATTCACTTCCAGAACTCGTGCTCGTTGCAATTCTAAGCGCTCTTGCTGTGCCTCTGTCCACTGTTCCTATGTGAAATATAAGAATGAATATGAATGTTTTATTCAAACCGAATTCCATGTGATATAAGAAAAAAAAAGTATGTAAAAGTGTACCACATGGGAACCCATTCGGCCGAGGTGCTTAATTTTTTCTTGAGTAGCCGCTATTTGCTTCAAGTACCATTCTCTAGCTTTATCAACGGCAGCTAGACCTTGAAGTAACACATCTTTCTCTTGTTCAATCTGCTTCATTCTTTTCATCTAAAAATATTTTATATTATAAATATATTTCAAATTATCAAAGTTATAAGGTTTTTGTTTGTGTGAGTAGGACTAATATTAATTAAGAAATATTCAAGCTTATAAATATTTTATATTCTTAATAGATATGTATCGACTGTTAATATTTAGTGCATACCCAGAACCAATCACCAAATGTTAGTTGGGAATCCTAGAGGAGAACATCTTTACCATATTGTAATCAATACCATTCTGCAACGTGTGCCGCCTGGGCTCTCTGCGACGATTTGAAGGTTTCTTAGGTTGAAGACCGAGTTGATTGCTCTGTATATCAACCGCTTTACCATCACCAAGGACTCTGGATGGTCTTAGCAATGTTCTAGCGTCTGGCCTATAATTTACAGGTTGCAGTTGACGCTTCTCTTTCTCGTCACTCATCATGAGACCCATCTGCCAATTTTGCAATGCCGTCCTGATTTCAGATTTATCGAAGTTACGTTCAAGGCCCATTATTCTACTTTCCAGAGCAGCGCCAGTTCGTGGTGGTTTCGGTGGACCATATACCTTGTTGATCTTCGGTTCTCCAATATTCCTACCGTCCATCAGCTCCAACTGTGCATTCATATCCTTACGATTGGCCAGCAACTGTGGCATACTAAGAGTACGTTGCTGGGATATAGCATTATTGGGTCTTATGGTAGCAGTGTTGGGAGACGTCCACGTCGTCTTGTTCTGACTGTCGGGAATGAGTATCGGCGCGGACGGCGGCCTGTTGGGTTGACTGTCATGTTTCTTCGCATCCGCCTCCGCCTGTATCTGCAGCAAACAGATCTTCAGACCCGCGCAGAATCTCTCAAACGATAATAATCCATTCGGCGGCGTGACCTTCTTCAGGCTATCCAGCACGCCCTTGGGCAAACCCTGCGTGCCATCGTCTTGCCACCGGCCCTCGATGTCGGCGAACTTGACGAAACCGGTATTCTGATCGTCCATTATATCGAACAACGTGCGCATCGCGTTGACGAAGTGTTTCGGCAGTCCGTCCACCGTCGATGTCTGTATTTGCGCCATATTTGCCCGCGCGCGAGCTAGGATCAAATCTCAACAAGGATCTGTTACGCGTCGCCTTCCAGAATACGGTTAGCTACATCATCGAGATCGCTCAAAAATCGTGGCTACTTAGCTGAGGCGTGTTCGTCCCCTGCATCCCTCCTCGCGCGCATATCTACGAGTAAGTTATCGTTGTTCGCCGCGTGGATCCAGGATCATCTCGCGCCAAATTTACTACGATTCACGATTGCAACAGGTTGTTTTCCCCGTAGATTAACCTCCTCCGCGTAGCCATATGCAATCATGCGTCAGTTACGCCAGAGAGGAATCTGAGAGCGGCCTTCTCCTGTTACTATTAAATTCTCCACACACTAGCGCCAGTTGAAAAAGTAAGGACGTAAACGACCACTTCATTTTTCTGTTGATAAGTTGATGGTATTTATGGTGTATCAGTACTTGGCCTTCTGGAAAAATCATTGAAAAAAAAAAACGCATCTTTATTCTTTTAATAGTGGAAATCTATCTTGGAGAATACTATTAATACTATTAATACTATTAACAAATTAAAGAATACTATTAATTATATTCTATTAGTTATTACTATACTATTACTATACTATTCTATTACTATACTGTACTATTATCTTTTTTTAGGTAATTCAAATAAATTTATATATAGATATTAATTAAATATGTATATATTTATTAAATATGTATATATTTACACATATGTATACTTAGCATATATGTAAAATATTTTTAATTATATTAATTTTTTAAAAATAAAAGTTTATAGTAAAATTTTACGAAAGATTATTTCTAAAACAAAAATATAAGACGAGTTTCTTAATTCATCGATTGATTAATCACATAATGCGCAAATGCTGTTTTTATAGAGCAAAATTGATATTTAATAAGAAGAAGATATTTAATGAAACTTAAAAAAAAATGGAATGTGGCATGAATTGAACAAAATTAATTCTATTATAATTTTGCGTATATTTTTTAATTCCGTTATTATTACCCGATAAAACTTTTCCATATATAATTAAATATATAATAAGATATATATATATATATAAAATCATATATAGATATATATAATTATATAATTATATATGAAACGTCATATATTATATATAAATATATGTAATAATATATAATTATATATTTTTAAATAAAGACATATTTTATTGAGTATTTTTCATATTTCTATTTTATATTCCATTTCTATTTCAATAAAGTTTTTCATAATGCTTTATTTATACATACATTTATAGATACAGGATCAAAGCCGAAAAAATTGTCTATGTATGTATATATGTTACGTAAGATTAAAAGTTACAGACAGAAGTGTTACATTGTATTTTATTTATACATACAGTTAATATTTTAATTTAATTATTCATGCTAAAATGTACTCTAAAATTAAATTTGACTAGTATTGATATTTTATTCATATTCTTTCATATATTTTATATTTTCCTTCTAATAATTACTTATTATAGAACATACAGAGATTACATAATTATTCTTGGATGAAAGAATCAGAAGTTCTTTCTTAGCCATTTATTTTACGCGGAGCATTGTAATTTTTTATTAATCCACTCTCAATATAATTAAATCAATTTTACGATATCTTCATGTGAAATGGCAAAAATGGTTTTTTATTTTTCGTGGGAGAGAATTCATTTCTAAAGCTTCATGTCAACTTCTTTAAGCATTCTTCAGAATTTAATACATGCAATACTAAAAGCGATGTTATTTAATTCTTCACAGTGGCATTTATCTATTCTTTATCGTCATGAGGCGATTGCTCGGCGTCTTGAGGACGAGTCTCCTCGGCATTAGGACTATCGTCGCTGTCTGAAGACGAACTGTCCTGCGGCATCTCGATCCCTTGCGTCAGCAAACTCGTTATCCTTTCAACATCGACGGTGTCATCCTGCTCGTGGATCTTTTTCAAGGCGTTCGATACTATGCAAAGATCACCTCGCAGCTCGCTGACCACCGCCGTAATTTTCTGAGCATCCGTCAACACTTCCACCGATTGAGTGTAAGGATTGTAGCGTATTCCGAAGGGTCGTTGAATCTGATTAGCGAACGCGCTGAAAAATAACATATAAGATATACAATATAATAACAATGCAAATGATAACACAACGACATTTGCTCCTCTTCGAACTCGAAAAAAAGGGTAACTAAAATGAAGTATATTAAGGGAGGAAAGTAATCACCGCATTTTCTCCTTTGCTTCTTCTATGCTATCTGTGTAATAATACGCATTCTGGAACGCGGTGATAATGCATTCTTGTTTACATGTGATATCAGGTTCGAATCTCATAGTCTTTTCGGGGGTGGTAACCGCGTGCCTCAGTTCCGCCACCGATGACAGCAGGCCAGCCCCGTAAACGCGTAGCATACCGTCTTGTTTGCACAATCCGAATTCCACAGTAAAGAAATACAACTGTGCAAAAGGTGCAAAAATCGAATGAGTAATAGAAGAAAGAAATACTCTTCTGTGTTCGAAGACTTACGGTTGCCAGTTTGTCTATATCTTCATCCGATGCGCCGAGGGAAGCCAGACCGAGTTCTTGAGAGAATTGCGCGAAGCTTGGATTCGCAAGCAACGGCATGTGGCCCAGCAATTCATGGCAACAATCTCTGCAAATTGTGAAGCAAATACTAAAGCAGATACTTTACAACTCAAAGTGAGAGAACAATTCAGCTAGGAATTTTATTTTATAGTGGATATCTGTTTTGCAGTTTGCAATTTGTTTTATATATATATATATTATTTTTTTTTTTCCAAAAAACATGCTTACGGTTCCGGTGTGTAAAATGGATCGGAAGAATGTCGAATATACTGAGTGCAGTGAAACACTCGGAAAGCCAGACCGGAAAGGAAGTCCCGCGGCGTCAGATAACCCGCAACCGGACGAAGTTGAAATCCCGTTGTTCCTGCGGATGTATCGGATCTCGTTTAAACTTTTATTATTATTATTTCCGTAAAATTACACACTAATTACATAACAATTTTACTTACGCTTCAAGAAAACGTTTATGTCCTGCAGTTGAGGTATGTTGTCTTCTCTAACATAATATAAAAATATAAAATATTTTATACTACTTTTAAATTAATTATAATTAATAAAATAAATTAACAAATTAATTATAATTAATTATATAAATTAATATCTTTCTCTATCTATTTTTTAAAAATTATATCTATGTATAAATCATCTTCAAAATGGAAATCTTTTGTAAATTTTTTATAATCATTTATTTTTTTGTCATAAATAAATTTTGTATTAATATCTGTTTAATATCTGTTGCATATCCGCACCTGTATCCGCAATACTTGACCAACTTCGGCCAATTTTCCAAATACTCTTTGCACGCGTATTTTTGATAGAGTTGGTGCAGTTCGCGGAAAACGGTTCCCCTGAAACAAACAAAGTTGCTGTTTTGTTTTGTTTAATAATATTTTAATAATGTTTTTAATTAACGATTTAAATATTTGCTTCGTTGCTTTAAACGGTCTTATTAAAGTATCATTAAAACAAGATAAATTGATGATAGTCATTGAATTATTCAAGTGACTTTTATCAAAAAGCTCTCGTGTTGATTAAGTTTGTTAAAGCAGTAATGTTTGCTTCATGCGTCGCTGCATTGAAGTCAGAGATATTGGATTAGCCAAGTTGCTTCTTGATCTCTTCCTACGCCGGGGATAAATCAAATTGACGCAATTAAGGGTGCATTCAGCGTGTGTCAATCTTACCTCGATTCGCGCTTTACAAAGAGACACATGGAGAGAGAGAGAGAGAGAGAGAGAGAGAGAGAGAGAGAGAAGAAATAGAGAGGAAGAACTGACTTTCTCGATTCGAATTGGCTTCGAAAGATAGTAGTTCGCATCGAAGACACCGAACGAATATATAACTTAAGTATCAGGAAACAGAAATGATTTCTTCTATCCAATTGCCTTCATATACACGAAGGCACGTTTGCAGTTTTATCCATAATTTAATGAGAAAAAGTTGTATCGTTTTTCGAAAGATGACATCAGTTAGAGTTTGCGACTTGCGATGTAATAAATGATTTTTTTCCATGACCATAAAATGTTTTCGTTAATTGCTTTACTTAGTCTTTTTTATTTTGAACAATTTCTGCAAATTTAATTTTAGAAAATTGTGCAGTTTTCATAATTTTAATATATATGATCTTTTTCCCAATTTTTTTGACAGCTTATTAAACAAAATATATCATTTTTTTTTACCAAAAATTTTACAAATGCAAATGTGTAATTGTAAAAAAAGACGTACCAAGTCCTGATCTCCTCTGGTGTATATTGCACCCTGGGTATCGGTTGGCCACTAAAACGTCACATTATTTACAGTTAAAAAAAGTCCTCTTTTGGGTAAGCCTTTTTGTTTTACTCACTGTCTGTAATTATAAGCGATATCGGCGAACTGCTCGCGACGTTTACGATACACGGTATCCTTGAAACCCTACAATCGTCGAATAATTCGGTTAAAGCACATGCTCGAGTACGAGAGAGAATAATTTCAATCATGTTTTAAACGTACAGGATGGTCTGCATCTAATTCCGATCCATACATGAGAACTTTTTGGGCTCGATCAAGGTCCGATATCTTTCGTGGGAACCAAGGCATGTCTACTTCACTAAAATCTTTAAATTGCGTATTGTTAAGATATTCCATTAACAGATGTCTTGGAGAGACAAAAGCGATATAAAAGATAAAATCTACGATAAAAGCTTGATACGAATTCTATCAGACTTGCAAATTTAGTTTTCGCTAAAAGGATTACACTTTGGATGTAAGTTGCAACAGCGATAAACTGAGCGTGTACAGATATTCGATAAAATATCTTTCGATCTCTCTTTCGTGAGCAGAGATCGCACGACTAATATACCTTATTTTTAGCTTAAAAACTTTAAAAGATTTGAAATAATTCTGTAAATCTTAATAGAATCATAAATATTGAGATGATGATTACGATAATAATCAGAAATTACTTGACAAATTATATTATTATTAAGTAATTAAGCGTTCAATTTGAAATTAAATAATCTTTATCGCAAATTATTGTAATTTTTAATTTATAAATGTTAGGCATACATGATGTTTTTCAGGCTAAAACTGCAGTTTATCGTATCGGAATTTCGTTACTTCAGATCGTATGTATAACAATATATTTACAATAGCATATATTGGAATTGCGTTTAATTGTTTCGTTACGATGAAAAATTCATTCTATCGATATTCGTGCACGTGGAGACTCACCGAAGCTTGTCGCGGTCGAAAGAGAAGGCGCGCGTGGTATACTTCCGATCTGCTCGTAATGGGCGAGATTGATAGCTGCTACTTCGCGGCTCAGCATCTTCATTAATTGCTCCATCCGCTTCGAGTCGCATTCGACATCCACAAGAATATCGTATTCGGAGCCGCGGCGCAGTGATTTCCTCGATTCGATGTGCACGACATTTATACCTAAATCCTACGCGCGACAAGAAAAACATAGCTTCACTCGGTAAATTTTAAGATGCACTTGCAAATGCGGTATCATACGTGGTATTTATGATTTATAATTATAATTTGAAAAACAAACTGTTAGAAACTTTTTTTCCATCATATGGATTGTCGCAAATTTATCTGCTTGATATTAATAAGAAACGTCAAAATAATTTGTTTTAATATAACATTATCAGGAAGGTAATTATTTTTATTCGTGAGCAAAATCAAAATTTTCAAAAGAATCTTGCAGTTATCGTTCACATTTTTATTTTTCGAGATCGCATGTTTTCAAGTTTACTGTATAACTTATAAAAAGATTTAAGAAAGGTTTAATGCAATTGTAATACAAATATATAAAAAATGAGGAACATAAAATGTACCTGAAATACTTGAAGTGCTCGTGCCAAGCCACCGACTTGATTCTTCAAGGAAAATATCACAGAATTTTTATTGTCACTATTCGGATTATTCTCACCCTCAGAGATCTGAATGAACGAGAGGACATATCTATTTAATAAGATGTTCATCTCAACTTTTATGTTTATTCGTACAAATATTCAGAATAAATCTCTAAACAACTGAAGATAATTTTTAAACTGTCATAATTATAACTTTAATTGAAATTGCCGAATTGTTAACAACAAAAATTTATCTGTTTCATTTATCTTTTCTTGTCAAACATACAGTAACATCCGCTGTATGTGACTTATGTAACGGACTTCCTTCCTTGACAGCCCAACTCTCGCCTCTCCTGTACAGCCACACCCCGAGAAGACTCTTCCCCGATCCACTCATGATGACTTTTGCAATGAATTCGCGAAAGAGAGAAGACAAGATTGTTAATTTTGTTTGAAAATCTATGAAATTTAGCGCGGATTTATATTCTTAATATCTCGCGCGACGCGTGTCAGACAGATTTGTGACTGATTGACGATTCGTTGTCTTTAAGGAGACGAGCAACAGTGTGCCGGTACCATCCTTAAGATCCTCTTAAGACCTCGGTCTCCCCGTTTGCGTTCGTTCTTCTCAATGACGATCTTGCCGTGGCTGGGCGGCGCACAGCGGCACTAGCGATTCCTATTGGTCGGATAAAGCTTTTCATGGGGTTGAAGACAAGTGTTGGTTCACCCCCCCGTTTAGCAGCAAGCGGTGCCGGTCCTTGAATGTATTTCTCGTGAGTGACGTCATTGGAACCCGGATGATAGAAGCAGCGATAATGAGGGGCGCGCGCAAGAATTGCAAAGTTTCCAATAAATAAGGCGCGACACTGTACGCTTTTATTTTTGCAATAAATTTCTACCCGAGAAATATAAGATAGTTTTCTTTTTCTTTGTTTAAAGAGATAGAAAAAAATAAGATATATTCGTACTTTGACACAGAAAAATTGTATTTAATATATTAGAATATGTAATTATTAAGTATTATTTAATAATTACGATTATAAAAAATAAGTATGAAACATAATTATTTACAAAATTTTATCTATTTTAAATATTACGTCATCATCATCATCATAATGTAATTCCAGTTTTGTATTAATTAAGATACTTCAGACATTTAGTTTTCACGCAGCGTAAAATTGTATACGCTGTAATAAAGAAAATTGCGATATAACGTCGAAACGAAGAAGCGGTCACTCGAGGAGACGATTTTCTATCTAGAGAAGAAAGTATCTTCGATGAGATGGCGATTTCTTATTCTCCGGATCCCGTTCTCTGAAACAAAGAAACTGTTTAATAAAAGCTCGAACGCCCGAGGGGTACTCCCACTTCTGAGAAAAAGTAGATGCAGCACATTACGACTGGTCCATCACTTACCACTATCAGCTGCCGTAACGCAGTTTCACCCTCCCTAAATTATACCGAGTGTTTCTCTGGCATTAAGCGAGATTGAGAGTATCGTTCGATCCTCGACTAGGATACTCTACTCTTATCGAAACGTGTTTACAGGTTGCAAGTTCCAAAAGGAATGTCTCTTGGAAATGTTCTCGACATTGATAACTATTTATTATTCAATCAATTTAATTTGTCACCGACTTCGTTAACCCCGTTGTCGAATGTATTGTAAAATTTTTCAATCCTGACAATGACGCTACGAAAATAAATATCAACGTTTAAGAATTAAGAGATTTCAATCATCGTGAAACAATGAGGCGCTCATTCTCTATGTGCATGACGCAATCTTGCTTCATCTCTGGATTTCACCTTTACATATGCCACGAGATATCCGTTTCCGCCACAATACAATGGTGAAGATTGAGAGAGAGCACGGCATTATCAACGGTGATATGTCAACGCAAGAAGTCTACTATGGAATCAAATGGGGAAGTTTTAATGGGATATGCCAAGTAGCACGAATTTAGCCTGTCTCCTATCCCGCTGCAAAGGCCACTAGGTCAGACACCGTCGATACCGTCGGTTTCTTCGTCTCGTGATCTGCATTTTTGTTCCAAGTTACACTAATAAAGTTATTTCCCGTCGTCTAATAAAACATGTTTAATTACCTCACTTTTGTACTTACCGTATATCTGTATATACAGCGCATCGATCTCTCCATTCTAATATTTATAATTCTCGGACGATCGGGTTATATTGCAGATATCATTAGTTAAGAGGATATTCAGTTACATTCAAGTCCAAATTATTATTTTATATTCCGTGTACGTTTACATTTTTAAAAATTTTTTTATTATACAATCTGTGTACACTTTTGAGTTATAATTTTTAATTCACAACCTATTTTTAATGTTCTATTCTTAGTTACGTTTTATTGCGTTTTCAAATTGTTGCTTTTTAACGATCGATAGACTCGCCTGTTGCTTCGTTTTCGTTCTCCGAGACGCATTCTCCTTCAAAACTTCTTAAGTGGTCTCAAGAAAATCGGCTGAAATTTGTTAATCGATCGAAACGACCAAACGCGCAGAAAGATCTCGCAACGGAGAAAATGACTATTCATCGAATAGTAAACAGCAAGATCCTTTCCAAGCATGCTCTCAGCACGAACGGGGAGGGGGTGATGGTGAATTCTAGGGGGGTTCTAGGGGATGAATATACGGAAGAGAAACTTACGGCAGACTTCAGTCTGCAGAATGAAAAATGTTTTCTACGCAGCTGGCGGACGCTCGCAAACGGACATTCGTAAAATGTAATCTTGCAATTCGATATTGGCGATGCGCCAAGGGAAATTTATCAAGATGATGTTTTAATGACTGTTAAAATTGTCCATAATACATTATTACGAGGTCAAGTGTAAAATATTTATTGTATTTTTTTAATTTTATTAAAGTCATTTCATTACAATCGTGTTTAACAACTCAATTTATCTCCTAATTTCAGAGATCGAAAATTTTGATCCTGAGTACAAGATTTATTAGAGAATTATAATCAATGAAATTTATATCAATTTTTTTTTAAATCTCGAAGAAATCGATTATGATACGGGAAAGAAATATATTTATACGTTTATAATAATTTTACAGATATGTTATTTGACGAAATGACTCAAGTCGCAAAGTTTCAATGAGTGGCATCGGAGTGGCAGATGAATCTTCACTGTTGCAGCATGAGTATATGAGCGCAAAAAAAATCGATTGCGAGACGATTGTAAAATATTTAACTGCCTCGGAGTCTTATATAGTGGCTTCTCGTCGTTCTCCACCACGAATTCCAAGCTACTCCGAGAGATACAAATGTAAACTCCAGAGAGTTTACGCGCTCTGCTTATAAATGTTTCATTGCGCGTATATATCGACCAACAGCGCGCTAGATCCACAAATGTTCGAGTAGAGACCTGTCTCGGCCCACATTTTCTCGGAGCGCATGTATATAGTCACCTTATAGTATTTTCCTGTTATATCTTTTGTAAATGTTTGAAAATGTAGCAAGAGAAAAGGAAGAATCACTTTATTATATTAAAATCATATTGTGAGAAATCTCTGCTTTAAAAAAAATGAAGCCTGGACTATTGATTAAACTATCTTATCTTCTGCAATCATTTAAATATTTATAATAACTAAAAATTAACTTTTTAAGAAGAATTTTTAAAATGAGTAAGAATCAAGAATCGTATTTATATCTCGTTTAATAATTGGATTCTGATTTGCATTCCTGCGATATAAAAATCACGTTCGATGTTATCATGAACGTCGCATTTAACGTAAATGCGAGACGAGAATATGCAGTCAAACGTTCAACCCTCTGGCTTTCTCTCTCTTCCTCTCTCTCTCTCTCTCCGAGAACCAATCCCCGTCCACCCTCGCGGACGAGCAGGCGCGCTACTTTCACCACGCAGGAATCAATAGGGGTTGCGTCGGGTTCGCGCGGCGTCGAAGCGACGTCGGCGACGACGTAAGCGACATCTCATCCCGTTTCCTGGGGGTTGACGTGCAGCTTTCCTTCAGGCCGTCACGGCCGCCCTCGGGACCGACCCCTGTCTTGTGTCCTGTACTTCGCTCATCCTTGCGAACGCCGCGGCGATGGCCGACAGCGAGTTCGAAGAGTTCCGGCACTATTTCGAGAGATTGCCCCAACATCTGAAAGCACCCCTTTCCAACTACACGTGAGTAATTTACGACGGACCTACCTTCGAAACAGATGACGTGATACGCGATACGATAAGGACCGCGACAGTGACATACATAGTCATGAGACGAGAGAAACCAAAGGTAGTCGGAAACCAAAGGAGAAGATAATTTAGATAGGAAATGAAAAGCATGAAACACAAAACTCGATTTAAAAATTCATTAGAATCTGAAATAATATATCGCGAATTGTGTATCGTCATCGAATAATGGACGAAATACATAGGGTGTACAATGAGTTTGTAGATAATAAATCACATTGATGGAATAAAAAATTGGGACTGATGAGAAATACTCGTATAGAATATGTTAGCTCAAATAATAGAACTGACAAGGGAAAATAATTTAACAAAATTTAATTCAACTGTCATCAATATGTTATATCTATATCATAATAAGTAGAAACGGAAATTGTTCATAATAATCAAAAGATACACGTTAATTTCCTAAAATGTCAATTATTTTATATGTATCATATTTAATATTATACGAAATACTAGCTAGAAGTCATAAATTGAAAAAAACTATCTTTAATGTTATTAATTTTCTAATGTCCATCAAATACTTTCTGTTTCTTTCAATAAATATAACTGTAATTTATTTATACTTTATATTTTAATAAATAAGAAAGCGGGATCTTCAATCAGAATTGATAGCTTGAGAGGATCCTGTCAAAAGATAAATTATGTCTCTAGAAATTGTCCCTGATGCCACCGACGTTAATAATTTAATATTACCTTTTTCAATAGTGAAATCATTATTTAGATATCATGAACAGTTTTGGTTTATATATAATATTGAAAAAAATATAGCAATACTGGAATCTTCCTTGATATAATTTTATAACATGTACAAAATGAAAAAAGCTGCTATGGAAGCAACATTACCGTTCGTTTATTTGTCGTTTCTATTCAGAATAATAATAAAATACTGTTATTATTGCATAGTGTTGCAAAATGCATAAATATGTCTGATGTGTACAACATTCGTTTTACGGCTCGAGGGAGCCTTAAAACATAGTTAAACATCGGGTTTGCAGGATCTGATGCAGACTAAAAGTCACGAAGGAATCGTCAAGTCACATGTCTTTAAAATTATTGATCTTGGAGCATAAGTGACACAAGGATACAAATGCGACATGAAACTGCAACACGACGCGCGTATAGACAACTTTGACGGGTGTGACCTATGGCTTTCGTTGATGACACAACATACATATTACTTGTATTACCGCAAACAACCGATGACGCTGATTAATCGGTTATATCCCGCAGTGTTGAACTCGTGAATTGCATAATTTATCTGTAGCGACTGCTTTTATAAACGTAACATAGTAAATATATGTTTTCGTATTTTGATTAAATTAAGTGCGAGATTCAGCTAATGAAGATATATATTTTAATCCTGAAAATTGTATAAATAATAAGTCTATAAATAAGCACATATTATTTTTCGTACGATAATACAATTGATAACTGGAATATGATTTTTTACACGGTTCATATTTTCGGCATGAAGTCTCTCTTGTGTTTTTTTAAAATCAAACTGCAGATATATTTATGATGAATCAGACGTGTCACTGTCCGCAGCTGATCCCGTAAAAATAAAGCAAGATCGATACGCGACAATCTCGTACCTGCAATTTTCGATCTAATTTTCGACCTACTTTACGTGCATTCCGCAGCGAAGTATACGTAATTAATGAAGCATTTCCTGGATAAATATTCATTTTCATCGAATCTGTTTAAATGCAACTTTTATGATAAAATCATTATGCAACTTGATTCGATATACCATATATTCGCTTGTGATAGCGCGAATTTCCTCCTATTTTTTGCTGAAAAGTACTTGAAAGAGTAGACGCACTTCTAACGAGAGTCTCAACATCACACTCTTGAATCCCTCTTTTATAAACGAGATCTTGCTCTATTGTATAAACGACGTGTATAAGTGTTACTTGCAATTTCCACTCTTCATTAATAATAAATCCATTATCACAAACGTTATAATTACTTGTGTGTTTATGTATTTATATATTTTCATATACACACGCATCATAAACAACGAAATAACATACGTAATAGACAAAAATAAAAAAGCATAAAATAAAAAGATATTTTTTAAATTCTGAAAAATATTCTTTAAATTTTTTTAATGGCTTTGATCTCACAATTTTTATATAATTTTCGCGTATTTAACGATTTGGATGCCAGGCTCGTGCACGATGTGATGATCGATGACTCGCCGACATCCTCGCAAGGAAGCGACGGAGAAGTCGGCAGGTCCTGCGATGTCGTCACCGGTGACTCCGAGGACGAGGAAGTCGTCGTCATCCATCGGCACGACAATCAAAGTGGGCATACCACTCCCGATGACAGCGAGGAACTGGATCACCATTGTTCGATCATAGCTGACAGCGATTTTAGGTTGGTAACTTCGTAAGTGTTCACTTTGTTGTGTAATAGTTACACGTTTTTATATTTAATTTCCAGATATTTTTGAGATAATCTTTAACAAGAGGAAAATTTTCAAAAAATTTTATCTGACATTCTAAACTCCAGTAAAATTTATAATACTTCACAAATATCGGATTTTTATAAAAGGTATAAAAACGTGGAGAAAGATATCTTTGCTCGTTAGAAATTTACAGCGATCTCGCGCGAGAGTGAATTTAGATTTAATGTAGTAACAGGTTAATTTTTAAATTCTCGTCAAAAAGAAGCAGAA